GTGGGGAGGCACGGGGGGGCCCTGCCGCAGGGGGTTTTGAAACCCATCAGGCGCGCGCCATGTGCTCTGAGATGACGCGGGTCAGGCGTCTGTGTCGGCCAAGTCCCCGTGTCCACTGTTTGATATGAGATTGTCTCTGAGTTAAGCCCCACAAGGAGACGCGCACAGGACAGTGGGTGCTGGGGGCAGTTGCGTCCACCCTTCTAGTCTCTGCTGCGGATCACCCTCTCTGTGCGGCGTTCAGGTCTTCGCGCAGATACCTCTGGGCCCTGGCCTGCTCCCCTCCCTTCTGGAACATTTTCTCCCACCACCAGCCCTTGGGCCATGCCGGGCTCCACTCTCCTCACCACGCGCCTTTCCCTAATCTAGCATCTGGGGAGCAGGTGCAGCCTGTGTGCTAGGGGTTGTGGGTCCTAGAGGTCTTTGCATTGTCAAGGAGCAGGAAGCCGGGTTGTCAGTGCGCGTGGCGCCTTGAGTGCCGCGCACAGGCCTCCCCAGCACAGGCTGCTGTGAGAGACTCTGGCACCGGCAGGTCATCTCGCTCACCTGCTCAGCAGGCCTGGCCATCCCACGGGGCTTGGGCTGCATGGGCTGCCCTCGGGGCGTCCCCCCGTTGAGGTGGGTCGGGTCAGGGGGCCGAGGGCACCCTCTCCCTCAAGGCCCTCGGAGCACAGACCTCGAGCCCGAGGTGGCTTTGCTTCAGAAATGTGGCCCTGTGTGCCTCTGGGCCATGGTGGGTGAGCGCGGACAGGCCAGCAGCGGAGCCCGTTCCCGCCATACTTGCCCACGCAGGACACGCTGGCTGTTCCACGCCCTCGGCTGTGACAGGCGCGGTCTGGGCACCCAGGGCACCCTCCCCCTTTACCCAAAGCACTGTGACCAGAGCCACTCAGATGCAGGTAGAATTCAAAGCCAAAAGGCTGAGAGAGCCCGCCTGGAGGACTCAGGCCCCTGAGTTCGGGAAGAAGCATGGGCACTGCAGCTGAGACAGGGACGGTCGCCACCCTCAACTGCCCTGCCTGGCATCCTGTGGGGAGGTGACATGCCCCCCGAGCACAGCCCTTGAGGCCGGCCCTTGCCTGCCATGGCATCGGGATCCAAGAGAGGCATGGGGAGCTGGTGGTCTGGGCGGGCACCCATGCCAGGCAGGGCCCTCAGCACACCCTCCTGAGCAGGCCACACCCTGCCCAGGACCCAGGCACACATTGTGGGAGGAGTTGGGGCCTGTGGCTGCTGGCAGGACCCCCTGTGTCCAAGCCTGTGTGGGCCTCTCGGAGGTGCGGGGCACGGATGAGCTGCGGGCATGAGAGGAGATGCTGCACGTGGCAGGTTCGCAGAGGCCTGCGTGGAGGCTTCCCGTTGCCAGGAGTGCGTAGACTCGTATGTGCAACATGGCAGTTTTCAACCTCAAGACGCAGGCACAAGCACTCTGTCCAGGCAGGCAAGCATCCCCGGGCCCCCACCCTCGAGTCAGGCGCAGGTCACACCACAGGTATTGCGAGGGCCACGCTTGGCTGTGTCTGCAGAGGTCTAGTCTTAGGCTGGGCGGGGCTTCCCTCCAGGTAGGTGGGCGCACAACCCCACACAGTGACTGCTCTGCCGCCACTCCTGGGCCTCCCTAGACAAGACCAGAGAGGAGGGGCCACCCGAGGGGGTGGGTGCCATAGTCCGCCCGGCCCACGCAGAGCACGCAGGATGCTGGTGTCCTCGGGTGCATTGTGGGAGACCTGCTGGGCAGCTGTGGCTTGGACACTGGCACCTGGGTTCCTTCCCCAGTGGCTTTCACGCACGGATGCCTTAAACCTGAAGGTGGCTGTTGGGGCAGCTGCCAACCAAGGACAAGGAGGACAGAGCCACCACCCCGGGCCGCTCAGACACAAAGCAAGGGGGCTTCTGGGAGCTTTGTGGGGGAGCACTCCTCCGAGGGGGTGGTGGTCAACCCGAGACCAGAGGCTGGAAGGCCCGCCCAGGATGCTGGGATATCCCAGGTGGAACATGCGTCACAGGTGTCAGGACATCCTGGCTGGAGCGTCTAGGCCCACAGCCTGTGTCATGGGCATCAGCTCATCCTAGGTGCGGCGTGTAGGTCACAGGCCTTCGGACTTCCCGGGTGTGGAACGCGTGTCATGGGCGTGGGGATGTCCGGGGGTGGCATGTGTGGGCCCACGGTTATGTGTGGCGGGGCCTGGCAGCTCACAGAGCTCCAGGGCTGCACTGTCGCCTTTCACTGTTCCTTGCTCGGAGCCTAAACCCATCGGGGCTTGGGACGCAGGAGCCGCCCTGTGTTTGTAGGGGACACACACCCGTCCTTTCGTGGGCCTTGGCGGGTGCATGTGGTGGGAATGGATGTGAGCCGGGCAGGGGTGGGGAGGGTGGAGCTCAAGCAGCGTCTGCGAGGCGTTGTGCTGGCGGCACGCCGCGTTCACGCGTCCTTCCTGTCCCTGCAGAGCAGAACTACTGCGAGTCCCGGTACCACTTCCTGCACTCCAGCGACGGCGAGGGCTGCGCCAACATGCTGGTGGAGTACTCCACCTCCCGGGGCTTCCGCAGCGAGGTGGACATGTTTGTCGCCCAGGCCGTCCTACAGTAGGTGTCTGCGTCTGCTTGCGTGGCCGCCTGAGCAGGGCCCTGCCCGTCCCCGTCTGCAGCCGTCCCCATTTCCGGGGGGGTATCCACATGCGATCCAGCTAGCCTCCCCGACAGAAAACTCCTGGCCTTGGGGTGAGCGTCAGGCTGGGCCTCACCCTGAGAGCGTGGAGGGGACGTGTGCACCAGCACTGCCCTTTCCATCCTGGGCAGCCACAGGCCCCTTTCTCACCCGGGGCTTGCTGGCCGTGTGGCGCTGGCGCGGTGCTTCTCGGGCTGAACTTGGTCCTGCCACTGAGGTCTCAGAGCCCACTGGCGCCTCTGGGCTGCCCGGGTGATGCTCTCGCCCGGCAGGAGCTAGCACCTGTCCCAGCGCCCAGCCAGGTGTCTGGGGTCTGCAGGCCACACGTTCTTAAGCCGGCGGGTGCCCCCAGGCGTGGAGGGAAATGTCGGGCCGACACGGGTCTTGGCCTCTGCCCGCGTGTGTTCTTGTCACCTGAGAATGTGTCCCTTGTGACCGTCCGTGGTGTGTCTGTGGCGGGAGCAGTGCGTGGCAGGCGTGGGCCTGCTGGTCTCCTGCAGCCAGCTGAAGGACATGGGGCACCAGCTGGGGGCGGCCGTGAGCAGCCCTGGCCTTCGTGGCCGTGTGTGCGGAACCCACCAGGCCTCCTGTCTGCAGTGCTTCCACCCCTCGGGTTTTCTCATTTCCAGGTTTCTCTGTCTGAAGAACAAAAGCAGCGCCTCGGTGGTCTTCACGACGTACACCCAGAAGCACCCGTCCATCGAGGACGGGCCCCCGTTCGTGGAGCCCCTGCTCAACTTCCTTTGGTTCCTGCTGCTGGCCGTGGACGGGTACGCCGCGTGTGTCTGGGGGCTCTGTGCGCCGCACCCGCAGCCAGGGTTTGGGGCTGTGAGATGAGCCTGTGTGTGCGTGCGTCCGTGCACGTGTGTGCGTAGATTGTGTGTGTGCTTAGGTGTACGGTGTGTGTGTAAGTGTGTGTAGAAGTGTGTACCACGTGTGGTGCGTGTGCAGATGTGTGTGCAGATGTGTGTGTATGGGCGACTGTGTAGAGGTGTATGTAGGTGTATGCACAGGTGTGTCTGAATATGTGGGTAGACACGCGTGTGTAGATGTGCGTGCGGGTGTGTGGAGGCGTGCGTCTGGACGCGTGGGGGGTGTGCAGACAGGCAGGGACAGACACGAATGTGCGCTCAGGGCGTGCCGTGCCCTGGCGTTCCCTCCTCACCGCCACGCCCCCTGTCGCAGCGGCAAGCTGGCGGTGTTCACGGTGTTGTGCGAGCAGTACCAGCCGGCCCTCAGGAGGGACCCCATGTACAACGAGGTGAGGCTCAGGCTGGTGGGGCCGGGCTCCGCCGCGGGGTGCTGGCCCGCAGCCCGGCCCTTCCGTGCCCTCTGAGCCGCCGCCTCCCCCCGCAGTACCTCGACAGGATAGGACAGCTGTTCTTCGGCGTGCCGCCCAAGCAGACGTCGTCCTACGGGGGCTTGCTAGGTAAGCCCTGCCCCGGCCTCCTGGGCACGTCTCCGGTGGGCCGGGCTGTGGTGCCCGGGGCCTCTCCGTGGGTGGGCGAGGCCGGAGCTCCAACCTGCCCCCGAGGCCGGCCCCCGCAGCCTGGGTCTGTCCCCTCAGAGTGCGAGCCAGGCCTCTGCGGAAGGACCGCGCTTGTGCTCGTGGAAATGCTCCACATGGTCCTGAGGGCCCAGGCCCCGTTTCTGAGCTCAGAACTCAGCAGCCGCGCTCCCTGCCCAGCCTCCACCCTGGGGCTGCCTCGCGGGGCTGCAGCCCTGGGGCTCCCTGGCTTCCGGCAGAGGCTGCCCAGCACGACCAGCACCCTCGCCTCTGGTGCTTCCCACGTCCAGGGCCGGAGGTGCCGCTGGCCGCGGGCGGGCCACGTGGCCTCTGCACGGGGACTCTGGTGGTACGGGGGTGGGCGGCGCCGTTGTGGGCGCCGACCTGGCGCCCTCCTGCCCCAGCCCGGGCGGGTTGGCACACGGTCTCGAGGAGCCTGGATCGCACCGCGGGAGGGCTCCTGCCGCACTGGCTGCACGGCTTCCCCGACGCCGCGGCTCCCCTTTCCTGGCACATGCCGGGCCTGGGGTCTGCCCCCGTGGAAGGTCAGTGAGCCCACCCCCGTCCTTGCCCGGCGTCTGGGCCAGCAGCCCTCGCGGGACGGTGTGCACCCACAAGCGGCCTTGCCGGCTGTCAGGCGCCGTGTCCAAGGTCGCTGTCCTCAGAAAGGTCCCAACTCTGCTGCCCGTTCCTCCTTCCGTCCCGGCGCCAGGGCTGGCTTTCCATTTCCCCAGAACCGCCACCAGTGCGTGTCTTGGGACCAAGCTAAAGGGTGGCAAGGAAGACGCTGTGTCTTGGGCCACGTCTTTGTGTCCAGAGGACAAGCTCAGAGACTTCGCGAGCCTTGACCTTGTGTATGGAGACAGCGAGCGAGCTGGCAGCACCAGGGCAGCCGTCACGTCTTCATCTGGGGGCGCCGTGTCTGTTCATGCCCGCTCGCAGGACTGTCCGTGTGCCCGGGCCTTCCTCTCCCTGGTGTCAGGCTGGTCATGCTTCAGTTCTGTCCTCGGCGGCTGCGCCACGGCCCCTGCGGTGGACATCCAGGGCCACGCAGCAGCGTCCTCAAGCTTCTCGGGGCCACCCGCCCCCGGCTCTCCAGAGTCCCAGCCGGGCTCCCGGGTCCGGGTGTGAGTGCCGGGAGGCGTCTGCTCAGAGCCTGCCCCGGGCCGGCTGACTGTGTGCCGGAAGGTGGGGGCGCCCGGGAGCCGCCGGCCTGACTGGCCCTCGCTTCCTTCCAGGGAACCTTCTCAGCAGCCTCATGGGCTCCTCGGAGCAGGAGGAGGGCGACGAGAACCCGGACGACAGCA